GGTCCCCCTTCGCTGCCTGTGCGCTACTCGTAAAATAAAGGCCGATGAGGTGACTGAGAGCACAAGAATTGCGGATGCAGGTGACCGCAAAACCTCTGGAAGAGTTTTTGTTTCAAGATAGCTTTGTGGTGATGCACTCCGCATTAACGCCGTTCTCAGCAGCTTGTGTAGTGGGGCTTGCCTACAGTAGCCATGGTGCTTGGTGTACTTATTCTTGCGATGTTCACCGTGGGTTTTATTTTTTCAGTACTTGGAACCTGTGAGGTCTGGTACAGGTGTGAAGACTAGATCATGTAGAGATAGGTTGGTTAGAGGTAATTTTGAAGAATGCACTGTAATAAAACTGCTTCAAGCTAGTGTGTGAGTTACTCCTCTGCCTACAGCATCCAGGTAGGAGGTGGCTTGGTGAGCTCTGCATGCCCATTGCAGAGGGCTCTTATGGCTTGAGCGTTGTTGTAGGGGCATGTTAGACCATAGCATACAGCCATGAGCTTTAAACAGATGTGGCAATGAGGTTTCAGTTTTGTCCTATAAGAGGAGTTGAACCAGTATCCCTGTAAAAAGGGTAAGTGGCATTTCCAGTCTTGTACTCAAAAGAGAATAATTCTCGACATTAATTTTTGTTTTTAGTGGGAATTGCTTAGCCTTTGGTACTGGAATGGGCTGTTTGTATGTGTGTATGCACATCTTCAGCACAGTAGGCTCACAAACTTAGATGATGATTCGTAAGGGAAGAGAGTGGTTCTCAAAATACAACTAAATGTACTGTGAAGTTATCAAAGCACCATGGTCTTCCAGTTGAGGTGGGGCAGTAGTGTGTAACAATTGGCTCTTCATTGTTTCAAGTGTCATGCAGCTGTGCGCTGCTTGTGGAAAATGCCATTTCATATTACTTTCAGCTTTTGCCATAGTGTTGCTTCCCTGCAGACTAGTAGGTGTGTTTAACTTCAAAGCGGCATAACTTAAGACCGCTTTCTGTAGTATCTGAGAAAAATCGTATAAAACGGATACTGAAATGGTAGGCACAGTGTTATATGAATAAGGGCTGTGACAGCTGTGGGCTTGGTTGATTTTTTGTTTGTTTGTTTAGCATCTTCCCATGAACACAAATTTAACTTCAAGAAGAGCAAGGAAATGTGTTTAAGTTACATTCAGGATGCCGTGCTACAAAAGCAGTGGAAAAAGGCTGCAGAGTTTCTGACCTTCTATACTGAGTCACTAGAGAAAGACTTTTCTAGAGAATATATGGGTCCATCAGAGGTAAGCCAATGTCCCTTATCAGAGTTCTTTTGCAGTTGAAAAAATACTTTGAAGGATACTTCAGGACCATCATTTGTCTTAATTAACTAATCACAGGTTTGATTTTTTTTTAATTAAAAAATTTTTTTTAATTAAAAAAAAAATCAAAGATAAGACCTGAAAAGTTAGGCAAGTTTCATTAACTAGTTTCTTTAAAAAAAAAAAAGACATTGAAGCTCAAAAACAAATAAGCAACTTTTCAGGTGCTGATGTAGAAACTCTGGGATGGCAGGCTGCAGAAAGTACACCAGACCTCAGCACTGGCAGTGCTCAAGAAAACATGCTGTGCAATTACTCACCAAAAGTCTGCCTTTGCACAGGTATGCCTCTGCTGTGGGTTTAACCAATCTTGCTGGAGCTTGAATTATGCTGAAATCTCACTTACAGGGGTGCTGAGGATCTGCAGTGCTGTCTGATGTTTTTCCTGACAGAGTGCTCTGTGGCCCTGCAAAGTTCTTTGGGCTTGGAGGCTGTTTTTGTGGGCTTTTGTTTATTTGTTTTGTGGTTTTGTGTGTTGTTTTTTTTTTTTACATAGGCCTGTGACACAACAGATGAAAATGTGGCTTGGTATAAGTTAATACTATCAGGAACATATCTATGAAAAGTCATCTTAAAGTTGTCTTCTAAAACGGAAAAGCAGTAAATGTGTTTGCCACTGGCATGCCATCAGTCAGAACCTGTCTGAAAGTTAGTGGCTTCTTTAGGTCTTTACCAACTCCTCCAGTACTTGCAAAACTCGTAGCAAGTACTGAGATAGAAGCAGGTGAAAAGGGATCAGAGCTGTTAAATAAATGCAGTACTTGAACCTGGCTAGCCTGCTGGAATATTTGGTTACATTGTGTAGGCAGACTTTGAAAACAAGGGCATGTAGATGGGAAGCTACATCTAGTTGGAAGTAATCTTTATTACTAAGTTCAAAGAATTATGTATACCTTGTGTCTCAGTGGGATCATATCAAAGGAAAACATAAATTTTCAGTAACAGGAGGGGGAACCTTCTGGCATGCAATTTTCATACGCTTTGCTGGAGTGCTGCATTTATAATAAGCAATTATGAAGCACCCACTGAAAGATTGTAAAAGTCCTTACTAGATGAATATGTAGCTTACTATAGCAGCAGATAATATTTAGTATTAATTTTTTATTTGTCATTCAAATGTACATTTTTTCATGTGTCACAGTAACTCTAAGTTTGATAAGACTGTATACATGGTGACTGTTGCCATTTATGTAGTAATATTATTTTTTAATCTTTCTCCCCCACAAATAGATTATTTGGAGAATAGGAACTGAAATTCTGTGCCATCATTCCCACAACACCATGAAAGAGTTCAACTCTTTCATTGAACAGATGAAAACTTTAGGAGTAAAAAGGTATTTGAAAGTGAGTATACTTAATGCAATCTTGATGATTTTCCATGTTTACCTGAACACTTACTGGAGTATTAGTCTCTGAATCTCTCTCTTTTGAAATGTATCACTGACAATGGTGTCAAAAAAAATAATACATCTGAGTTACCAATTGTATGATATTTTAGGGGTTATTCTGTACCTAACCATATCTCATTTGGTCTATATATTTGATCACAGATGCATATTGTCAGTTCTTAGGAGTGCCTAAATCTTTTAACCTTTTCATTTGAATTTGAAACAGTTAAATTCTTATTAATGTATGCCCCAGTAACATCTAATTACACATTAACACCCACCAAGTTTTATTTCTAGTTGTTAATTTCACCACTGTGCTCCTAACTAAACAGTTGTACTTATATTTTGCCATCATTACCTGCTAACTCTTTGAGTAGCTAATCTGTATATAAAACAGTGGGCTCTATACTGTGGACCCCTGTATCACCCAGCTGTCATTTTTTTCTTGTGGTGGCTCATTCAAACCTATATTGTTTTGGTTTCCTTGACTATTTCTCGCTTGTGATGATGCTTCTGTCTTTCATTCTGTTGTACTTCTTCAACAGAAGTTCTGCACAAGAGTTTACTAGAGCTAACTGGAGGTTTAGACTTTTATCCAGTGCCTAATCGACATGATAGGGTGGTAGGACATCCCTCAGGTGTTCTGCAGTTGGATAGCCAAATGAAAAATTGGGAAATGTAACACAACTAAATTTCCTCGGGTCATTTTTGGACTTTCTTAAATAGGTACGGCAGTTGTCTGAAAAACCTGCTTGTCATTAACAACTGCTTTCTGCTGCCTTGATAAGTACCACTGAGTGTCTACCACCTGATGGGTGACTTTCTGCCCCACAGATTTCAAGAGCTTCAGCCCTTTCCCTTACAAGAGATACATCATTGTATATCAGATATGCTTTTGGTTACTAATGTTTCTCCAGCATCTTCAGACAGAAAAAATTCCTTAGGTTCTTGTCTCATCTCCCTGCCATCAGTGACACTTGTATTCTCCCATTTCTGCATTTTTCTCCAAAATTCCTTGTAAAGATACTGTTTGGATAAAAGAGTATGTGTAAAATGCTCTTGCAATTAAAATACTTTACTGTGGTGACCGTATTTTATATGCATGTCAGTAATGTCTCTTCTTTCCCTGCATATCTGTGTAGAACTTCGCTGTATTGCTGAGATTCTCTCTATTTACGATGTGAAATGCTGTAGCATAGTCTATTTGAATTGCAGGTTTGTTTAGAGCATGCCTTTCGTCTCCTTTGTAATGGACTAATAGATGAAGCTTACCAAAACCTGTCCCTGGCAGAAAGCTGGAGGTTTGGAGAACGAACAGCTATTCAGGATAAAGAAATGAAACTGATTCAGGCTTACAGGGGACTGTTGGACTACTATAGCTGGTCTAAGCAGAAGAACATCCTGTTAGAGCATGGTAAGTCCTAATGTTTTTGTATTGAGCTATACACTTCAACTTGCTTGTCTTTGCAAGCCATGGTGTTCCATGGTGTCTGCACAAGCACCTGTTCCATGCAGGCTTGGAAATGACTTTATCTGCATATGAGGGCACCAGAGGGAAATACTAGGCTTCAGAATGTGATGTTGTGGATGGTACATAATTCCATATTGGCAGTGATAGTGCTACCAAAATGGCACACTGACCTGCACTTTGAAGTGTCCTGAAATGTTATTCTGAAATTTTTTCCCCCAAATTAATTTTTTTTTTATATTTAGGCAGCATTACCTAAAACAACGATGAAAGGAAGGCATTCACTTACAGCAGTGACTTCTTTATAGGTGCATAAGTGCTTGACTGCTACTAGAATTTTGGGTGCTAGCAAAAGCCACCAAAACGTGTTTGAATTTCAGTTTCTTTAGATACATACGTTGCTATGTGTATGGTGTCTAATTCTGAATATACCTGCTGGCTGTGCCTTATCAGTTACATTGGGTCTCTACTTGTTTCTCTGAACACTAAGTATTAAATCTGGTTTACAGACCTTGTGCTTGTAGTGTCTCACCTTGGGGTACTGCCCATCATGCCCCATGATTTGAAATTGAAGAGCAGTGAAAATTTCTTGTTCTGATTCTGAGGAAACTGAGGCCTCTCTTCTAAAAGCTCACTGACTGGAATCCTTGCTTAGCAAACTGTGATCATCTACTTAGGTGCACCACTTCTTTGAGGTCTCTTTTCGTTAGCAAAGCTAACTTTGTGGCATTCTTCCATGTTTTGGTAGGTCAGGATGGATTTGAAGACTTGTCTGTTGAACAGGAAATGCACAGTTGCTTTCGGAAGGCAGCAGTGAACTTAAAGGAAATTATTACAATACCTGGAGTCTGGGATCTCTTTGTGAAATGCTATGTGGATGTAAGGGCATGTTTTACAGATATCTTCTTTTTTTGTTTCCCTCTCTAGCTTTCGTTAAGATGTCTGTCTGCAGCTTTTTATATGTGTGTGGGTGACAACAAAGTATTTTAAAAGCAACACATCTGTATGTGTATCTCACTGTCTTTGAGAACACAGTTTACTCCTGGTAGAACTGCAGAGCCTTCACTGAGTACAAAAAGGACTTTGTGCATTGCCAAGAAAAAGAAATAGACAAGCAGCTTGCACATTTTGTTTTCATGGTGCTAGTACAGAAACTGGAGCACAGAGGCTTTTTTTAAATTCCTGAAAGCAAGTTCTCTCTTTTTAGCAAGGCAGTGTTCTTCTGGATACACCAGATGTTAAAGATATTAAATGTGCAGTCCCACTGTGTTTTGTTTGCTTTTTAAAATATCTGCTTAGAATTTATAATTAAGAAATAAAGTCAATCTTAAAATCTCTTTGAAATTATTTAAATTTTGTAAATACTGAAACTCTGACATCTCTAAGCACATCTTAGGGAATTTTGCTTGTTGCTGACAACTGCTGAATTCTCTCATTGAGGTCTTTATTTAGAGACAAGACAAACTACTTCAGTGCCTCTTTCCAGTGCACAAGTGCTGGTAATTCTTTGACAGTTAAATAAGTGTTAAAGGAATTTTCTCCTATAGTGGCTTCTATGTGTGAATTTTTGTCTATCTCTAAGAGTAGCCAGTAAAAGGAGAATATGCTAGTGTTAGTCTTATCTCATATGCTGCACTCTTAGATACAGACTGTGCTATTGGATAGTTCTGTGGCAGCCCAAAATTAGTTGTAAGAGCCTGAATGCTAATATGTGGCAAACTAATGACTGGTTTAACTTCTCTTAGTTGTTGGAGTTCTATGGAGACCATGATGAAGCTCGCCAAGTATTAAATGATTATGCCTACAACTCAAAGTTTCCTGCTAATCCCAATGCTCATGTTTACCTCTATCAGTTCCTGAAGAGACATGGTGAATCAAAGAAATCACTCATATCTGCACTCAAGGTATATATTACACAGTAGATAGTCTGTGGTCATTCATGTTGCATGGTGGTCTGACAATTTGATTCAGTGGAAGTCCTGTTACATTATTACCCTATTGTATTCTTTGTGGGAAGCAGAGGGCTAAAGTTAGTGGGAGGGATGCTAATGGGTGAACCAAACAGGATCCTCTACTGTGTTTGAATTAAAGTCTTGCTTTGCCTTTAGCTGATATATCATGTAACTTCTTTATGTCAGTAAACAAGCTCAGAGAATGTCTTTACATGGTTCCAGAAGTCTGTATCGATAGTCTTGTACATAACATGCACTGATTTCTGTTACAGTTTGATCTTTACAATATTGAAGAAATGATTAGATGCTTGCTCTTTAACATATTGATCCTGTCTAGCAATTAGTTTCCCTACTTGTTTTCAATGAGCCGTGCATTTAAGCTGAAACAGAAGCTAATTTCTGCTGGCTGTTGGAAGACAAGGCTTTCCTGTATTAAACCTTTGTATAGGTGCTTTTTGAATTCCTGCTTTAATTTCCCTTGCTCGTTGATCTTGGGAGCTTCTTGCAAACAGTGTTTTGCAATCTGTTTTGCCACTTGATGGCACTAATGTGCTTTCGTTAGGGCAGATGTTTTGGGGCAGATGGTTTAGAACAGCTTCATAAAGTTTAGACTTTTAAACTGTAGCATATATGTATAAAATTCCATCTTCTCACTGCTTTTTAGCAGTGGCTTTATACACTAGCCTCTTACAAGATAGTGACAAATCAAAGAACTGGTCTGATATGTCTGGAAACTGTGATTCAATGTACAGAGCAGTAGACAGGGGAGCTGGAACTGGCCTAAGAAGGAAATGATGTTGCTTTCTAAAAAGGAGGCACTGGATATGGATTTGGACTGTTCCTTGAGAATGTTGTATTTGTCACATGCAGTGTTTCTCAGCAGCCATTAAGCTGTTTCATCCATTGTGTGAGAGTAGTGTCACAGTTGTGCAAAACGGACCTAGATAGTCATTCTTTATATCAAGGCAATAAGGTACCAGATGGCTTAATTTTTCTAACTAAAACTCTGAAGCCTGCTCTTTTCTTGATCAGGTAGAAGTCTTCATTATTTTAATGTGAAAACTTTTGTATCTGGGTTTTGTGGGTTTATTTTTGTATTTATTTTTCAGATCTTGCATGACATTGTTCCTTCTCATGAACTAATGATAGATTTTAATACCATGCTTCAAAAATCAAGTAAGTTTTAAATACCTCTACTATTTTCCTTTATATTAATCTAGAATAATATTCTGAAACTATTCTGCAGCCTTCTTTCTGCTTTTTGAAGTAGTCTCATTTGTTAAGGAAAAAAACCAACCCAAAACCCAACTTTCCAATCACAGGAACCTTTAAATTGGATGTGTGAGCAGGCATTTACAAACATTCTGTAAATAAATGCCTTTCTCATTTTAAAGGCTGATCAAAGCAAACTCTTGTAAAGCACAGACAGAATCTCAAGAATAAGGTGGTTTGTTTTTTTTTTTTTGAGGTACCCTACTCTGAATGTTAGGGTCTTCCATTCCCTTTTTGGGGTCTCTGATTTATTTATTCTTGCTTTTCTGGAGGAATTCAGATGGATCTATGCTTTAGTTCATTGTTATTGATCAAAGAACAAAAACTTCTTCCTCTTCAAGGGAGTTTTATCTTCAAGCTGGTAGAAAAGTCTTCCAGTTTGGAGACTGTTTTTTCCATGCTGATCAATTCCATTACAAGCTGTTGTCTTGTGACCTGGTATATTCCAGCAAGTCAGCAGATTGGTGAAATGTCCTTGAATCAACACTGTTCTCTTTTTCTGCTTTTCATCTTTGGGAGGGGCAAAAACAACCTCGTGGCTGAAACCTCTCTTTCTGGTCATGCATGACACATTTGCTAACTTCTTGTAGCTAATGAGGACAATTTAATTTTTGAAGAAATTTATACTGATAAACATAGCTTTTCCCACATTTGCCTGCTGTGGTAAATGAAGTGTTGTTTTAAGAACTCTGCTGATACGTAGCTACTGATGTGAAATGTCTGTTTTATTCATATCAATCTCAGATTTTTTTTTTTGGTGCATCTCAGGATTTGAAGTGTTCCAGAGGGAACACTTCCCATGGGAAGAACAGGTTGGACAGGAGTGCCAACTTGAAGTGCAGGTTAGTGAGCTTTGGAAACAGCAACCATTGGAAGCAAAGCAGTGTAGGATAAGTGAGCAGTCCTATGTATGCCTCTCAAATCAGGAGTTTTTGAGCAGGATGGGAGTAGGACAGTGTCTCTGGTATGAGTTGTGCTCTAGAGCCAGGATGTATTCCTTAGCTTTATCTCTTGGAGGAGGCAGAAGGCAGTGGGGGGACCCTTAGTAATAGGGTAAGTAGCAGCATTTGGAGAGGCAGGATGAAGAACTGTATTTCACTTGTTGCTTACTAATGAGTTCAGCCTGATCCAAGTAATTCATTAACCAGCCTAGTCGTCTTCCAGAGAAAAGAAGAAACCGTCGACTGGGGCTAGAAGTTATTTTTGCAGCCTTGGATTATGCTGGTTGGAAGGAAAATGTAAAAGCATGGAGCTGTTTGGCAAGACAGGTGAAACATACCGTAATGTAAGTATCTCTGATACAATGTGCTAAAAACAAATGTGGCAAATCTCCACCTCTGGGGTACTGACAAAGTGACACTCTGTAGCCTTTGTCTTCTGTGCTGGTGAATGGAGTTGTCATCTGGCCTACCCTGAGTTCTGTGGCAGTGCTTGGCTGCAGTGTACTTTTGCTGGGAGGAAGGAAGAAATTACTGAGGATAATTCAAAATTTCCAGTACTGTCATTGCCTGGAAAAAATTGTTTGTTTTTTTTACCAGGTTACATGCTTTTGCAGAAAGAGTTATTCAGATGTTCGGGTAGCATTTGCTGCCCATCACTAATCTCCCTCTTTCAGCATGAAGAAAACCAAGTTGTTAGGTCTTCTGCTCCTCTGTTACTACATGTGCATTATTTGAAGCTGGTTTGAGAATCGCGGGGCTGCAGTAGTGGTGTGACTCGTACTGTGCAGACTGATGTGTTGTGTGATGGTGGTGGCTGTAACAGAATGCAGCCAGTGTATTCTTAAAAGCTGAGCCAACATGCCTGGGGATTGAGGTGTCCTCGCCAACATTGACAGACATGGCCTCTGATTTCAGGAGGAGCCATCTCAGGCAATCCATGCCCAGAAGACCTCTAATGTCTAGACTTTGTTTTACCCAACAAATAGGGTGTTGTGTTTTTTAAGCCTTTTAAATATGGAATCGATTTGCTATAAATAGAATTTGACCCATTTTGCTGTTTTATTGCCACCTACACAGCATCTGCTGTTGAGTTCCGGAAGCTAGTGGATTAAACCTAGGAGTGTTGTTGCATAGAGTTAGTAAAAATGGTGTAATAGTCTAACTTTGTCTGCATTTTTGTATTTGAAGACACATCTTCAGAGTATCTTGAAATAATACTGGGTATCTTGGTTGTTTTATGGGAGTATCACTTCCCTGTTGTAGGTAGTTTCTATTTCTGAAATGCTTGGTTTAAGGTCTTTGTGCAATCAAGTAATTGGGATAAGTATTTGGGATAAGTTAGTCTTTGAGTATGCACAGAGTAACACAAATCTTTCCTAAAAACAAACCCTTTCATATACTAATTTGTTGGCAAACTTGAAGAAACTTTCTTATTACTATTGACAAACTGGCACACAGCTCAAAGGCTTGCTTTATTTCACACCATAATCTGTGTTATTGCCAAGTCTAAATGAGACTGCTAGAGTTCACCTCCTGCCTCACTAGTGTCGCCAGCGATTAAAAAACAAAATGTTATTTCTGTTTAGATTAGTATTTTAGTCTGCAGTGTAAGCTCAGTGTGTCTATGCTAGCAATTTGAGACTTGTAGCAAGTTGATTATGAAATTTGGTGCCTCCTAATCACCACTTCAGCCCAGTTTAAGTGTGGGGTTTTTTTGTAACTTGTTTTACCTTTTTCCAGCTCTGAGAAGCATCTTGACTGGATCAAGCAAGAGTGGAACTCCAGAAAGGACTGGTGGCCAGCCTTCCATTTTAGTCATTACTTGGCAAAAAGGAATTGGCAGGAAAATGAAAGCCTTTCATATGAAAAAGCTCTGGTGGCTGGAATCTTACTGGGAAAGGGTAATACTAAATGTTCTTTCCTTCCTACATAGAACAGAAATAATGTCTAGTTTTGCCCCTTATGAGGTGGGATGCAGCTGATCTACTCCCTGGAAGAAGTATAGTTTCTTTCTTCTAGGAAAGATTGTTGTCTTTGAAACGGAACATAAGAAAAATGTTTCAGTTGGTTTGATCTTTGACAGGGATGCATATTTTGTGTAACTTGTCTTATTCTGGTTTAGAGTTCTGTTTTATCTGGCCTTGGTGAGCAATCACGATACTGTTTATCTTGTTTAACCTTCAAACCACAATTTCAAAAATGCAGAACATGCTCCTGAGTGAATCTTGTGAGGACTGTGGAGAGCTTGCTTGCTGGATGCCAGTCTAGGCAGTGTCTCAGCAAATATCGGGGAGCAGCTCCTTAAGGACTGTGGGGATGTTGCAATGCAGGAAAGAGGAGAGGTATGGGGAGGGGAGTGTCTTGAGTGAAGACCATTGGCAGTTCAGTAAGAAGGTGAAGATCGTGATCTCTTCAGTAGCATTATTTGAAATGCTGCCAAAACCAAGTGGAATATGAGGCCAAGAAGCAGCTGCTAAACTGAGAATGAGAATATGGTGTGAAGATAGTGGCTTGTATGCCAGTTTGGACGGTTGGTCTATATGCAACTTGTTTGTTGTCAGCTTTTCTATAACTTTATCTTCTGGACTTCATAAAACAGTTTCTCATACTGAAAGTCTGTTTTTTTTTTTTTTTTTGCTTTCAGTAATATGTTATCAAATGTCTCCTAGCTTTTTTCTAGGCCAATAAAATTGTTCCAGCGCTTTTAGTGATGTTTCTGTGCTCATTGGTGTCAATAGGAGCCTCCATTTTCCTTATCCAACACAATAAGTGAATATATGAAATCAATGCTCCTTTACAATCTTGAAATTTGACTTTCTAATCTATTTGAAAAGTAAAAACAAAAGAGAAAAAATATTTTGCAAGACACAACTTTCATTAGTGAAACTGTTTAGGTGTTTGCATGTTATTTAAACAGTGAAAGCATTTTGTATTTGCTTGTAACATGGTATAACTTACAATGCTTCTTTTTTTTTTCTTTTTTGCTTAGATTGCAAGTACTTTAAATATGTGTCACACCAAGGCTGCAAAGCTCAGGTGAAAAGGGCTCGGATACTGAAGAAATTTGTGAATAAGCACAATCATGTCTACCTGAGAATGTCTGGTCTTTGAGTCCTCTGTGCAACCTTTTAATAGGCACTCTTAAGGTTCTTCCTGCATTTTTTTTCTCTCTGTGAAACTGACTTTTCTGGTACTGTTCTAAAACTTCTAGGCAGACCCTATTGACTCAGTACTAGACTCTCTTCCGTATTTCTGTAAAAATGCTTTGGTTTATATGTATTTTATAATAAAATGAATATAAATCAACTGATAAGGTTGAGGAATTTCTTCAATATTAGTCCCATATTTCTGTGTGAAATGCAAACAGCACTGATTTCAAATACATCTTGAGAAATATTTAGTGTTTCGGTGTGGAATTTCTGTTTCAAGAGTATTTTAGGGTTGATCTTCCTTATGTTTAGAGGCATGGATGGTGATTTAAGTGACTGCTGGAATGTAGTTCAAAATCCATTCAAGACTAGCAGTGCCATTCATAATGGGCGTAGCGTCTTAACCTAGGAACAGTACCCGATGTAGTGTGAAAATGCATTCTCAACCTGTAAAGGTTACGTAGCTTGCTGCTTATAACTGATCATTTCCTAAAACATACGGAAAATGGAGAGGCATGTGTCATATTTTTTTTGCATTGCATATTCAGAAGGAATACAGGTTGTAAAGATCTACTGCAGCTTGTTCAAATAGATGATGCAGTTCAACATATCCGAAGGCAGTTTTCCCACATGTCAGACTTACGGGTTGCGTGTCCAGTTGAGGGATTGTTTTCACATCATTGGTGGAAGTAGGTGAAAGGTTGCTGTAGCTGCATGGCTATAGAGAAAAGCTAGTGTTGCAGCGCTTTGAAAGAGGTGAGGGCACAGAACTACTGAAAACTTCTCTACCTGCTGGAAGAGACTTTCTAGAATCTTCTTGCAGTCTTGCCTATGAGTTGAAATGTGCACTGTTGCTGTGTTTGGAAAGCAAATGCTAATGTGTTGTCACAAGCTAGCATTCCAATTTGAGTGAAAACAACAACAAAATGGTTTCCAAATACTAATTCTGTTTTAATGACAGGTCTGTAGAACTCTGGTGGATGAACTGCTTGAACCACCTCTGGGAATGAAATAAAGATGTCTTTAATAGCATAGCAGTATATGGATTAGTACAGCTGTGCTTTTAAAAGCCGAGTTTATCTGGGAGTTTGGTCTGGGTTAATACAGGTTTTGTGATATGTGCCATAAGACAATCTGTCTTACATGTTGAGTGAGCTGCTTGCCAAAGTATCAAAAAAAGTAATTATCTATCTTGACCTGTGTGCTGTTTTAGTTCAGACTCCCTAAGAATGCTTCTGCCTTGTTCTGTAATTGTCAATTTTTGTTGGTTGGAGATCTTCAACTGAGTTTTGACTATCTGAATTGTGAAATTTCAAAATGCTCTTTTCCTGCACCCCATCAAGTGTTCCACACCCCTGAGAAGTAACCCCACCTTAGTCCAAAAGGTGATGCAGAGAATTGCTCACGATGACTCATCCTGATGGGTTTCATGCCTGGATGACGGGGCAAAGGCTGTCCTGTGACAGCCCTGGGAGGCAACTGTACAGGGCGTCTTTTTTTCTGGGGTTCTTAATTTGGCTTCCTGCCTACTGTTGTGATCCTCTAGACTTGCAAAGATAGGTCTTTAATGGGCTAGTGACTCTCCTGTGATGGGCCTGGGAGCATCCCAGCAAGGTATTATTTGGGCTTTCCCCTTCCATTGTCTCTCTGGTCTCTTTGGTGGGGGTTCAGAGGTGCTTTTATCATATAACCTAACACAGAACAGTGTAAAAATTGAATGCTAGGGCCCTTGCTGCTTGTTGAGAGCTCCCATATAATTTTCCTTCTGTCCCCTTAGCTGCCTGTGGGAGATGTGTATGCCTTACAGCAGCTGAGAAACCATCTGTTTTATGGAAGAAGAAATTTGAAACAAAGCAGCACGAGATTGGAGTGGAGGTAAGAAGAATGCGGTAAGGAGAATGAGAGGACAAAGAGGAGCTTGATGTCTTTGAAAAATCTGTTAATCCAGTATGCTCACAGCTTTCCCCTATGATGGAAGCAGGGTTGCTGCCAGGGATCATGTTCTCTTCTGGTGCTAGAACTACCATGCTGCAGTAAGCAAGGAGCACAGTCCCAGCTTTCATGTCCTGCAAGAAACTTGCTCCTGATACCACAGTAATTACACCTGAGACAAACCTGTAGGTCACAAGTCCTGAGTGGAATTTCCTGTGTAAGTTATCCAGTGCTTACTGTGTTTTCAAGGTTGTGTGTTGTACTTTGAATGTGGTAACTCCCAGTGGATTGGAATATTCTGCTTTGGCTCTGAATAATGTGGTCTAGGTTTGGTTTTCTTATGACTTGACATCTTCATCCTGTGTGCAAACTTCTGTGAGGGTGTCTTTCCTTCTGTGAAACAAAGACCACATCTTTTCTTTTGATCTCCTTTATGCAGAAGCAAGGAACTTCTTCAGGGAATCTACATTGTCTGTCCACAGACTGTGTTTGCCCCCTGTTATTCCAGCTCTTGTTCTGGTATTTTTAATATTAAACTCTAACATAATAACATAACAATACAAATCACTCAATATCTACCGTTGTCTTTCCTTCTTGTTCCATTCATATTTTTGATGCTCCAGCTTGTGCTTTCCTGTTTTAAGAATGTCTTTACTGAAGTTCAGGAAAAGCAAGCTCATGAAATGTCAGCTGCTTTTATAAAGCATGTTGACCCTGTGTGTTCTTACCCCCTTCCTTTTCCCCACCAGGCTTGCTGTATTCTGAGCAGCTGTCTCATTCTGGAAACTGTCAGGATTTGCCTTGGGTTTCAGAGCACTGTAAGCATATTGTCAACACTAAACAGGTGCATTTATTCCCTTGGAGTAGTCCCTGCAGAATCAGAGGATTGATGCACTTTGTACTGGTTTGAATTTACAGTTCTTCAGGGCTTTCTGTAATTGGTGTTTTATTTGCGATGGTAAACGGAAAGTTCTGCTCAGTCTTGTGGTATTGCATTTAAAGAGTGGCTTGAGGTGGTGTGTTGGCTGAAGAAAAAAAGACTGCCCGCTGCAAGGAGTCCTTGGGTATTGTGAGCAGTAACCTCTGTGGGAGGTTATGCATTCTCTCCTTGTCCAAATGTGAGCAAAGCTCTTCTGCCCTCACCAGGGAGCAGCAAGGAGTATTCTTGCTTCCTGGTCTTGAAGTATCCAGTAACTAGGAAGGGTGGTTCTGCACATGGGTAAATATTCTGAGCTTTTGTCTGCAAGTGGTATGTCTCTAGGAAAGGCAGAGAGGAGGCACTGAAGTTCTTATGGTAGCATATAATGTTAGTTACCCCAAAGAGCTCAGTAATGCTAGAGGAATTAAAAGCATAGGGAACTTGTAGGCTGTAGTTACAAATGAGGAGTATACAAATATCCTCGCTTATCCTTGCTGTTTGTTGTGGCTTCAAAATAAGGCAATTGCCAGGGGAGACACTGAAGTAATGCCTTAATTTCAGTGATTGTCTGCAATATATGAGAGCAAGAACTGAGAAGCTGATATTTCAGCAGATTTAAATACTTGGCTTTAAAATGCTTTATCTCATGACAGTGCTGAATCTTGTGATTGGCTTGTTTCCAGTTCATTGAAGGCTAAGCAGAGACAGGATTATTGGCAGGCTGTTGTGCAGTCAAGGTGCCACAAATTAGAGCCACAGCAAAACAGGTGGTAATTAAAAACCCAGAGGTTTCCTAAAACAAGCATTTCCCAGTAAACACTCTGAGGAGATCAGTAATCACAGAGTATTCTCAGCTGTCATCTCACGCTGGTAGTTCTGTTGAGAAGCTGGAACTGGGAGCTTTTGACTTCTCCATGAGCTACATGAGGGTAGATCCTGGGCGTAAATGGTAATGTGTGGGGAGAGGGGGAAGAGTTTTGAATGAGTGGAGGTGTCCCTATACATGAGTTTCTCCCTGCAGCTTCCCTTTCCCCCCTCTCCGCCTGTCCCATAGAGGTAAAGCAGTAAGAAGCAAGCTGCTAGAAATAGCACAAAGGATATCCATGCATTGGCTGTAACAATTTCTCCTAGGATTTGTGAGGAGGGGAGATATCTAATTGCTTTTTTTAATGCTTGGTTTCTTCACTGATGTTTCAGAAGCAATAGAACAGATCACAAAGCTTTGGTCTCTAATAAGCTCTGTTGTATGGAAATGTCCAGTGAGCAGGTGCATGCTAAAGCCTTTTCCTAACAGCATCAGACTGGCTGCAACACTCCTTCAGCTGCAAGGTAAAGCTTGACTTACTCCTCTTCCTTGGATCACTTAGGCTCTTGGTGTGCTGCTGATCTTGAATTCATGTCTTGTGATCATAGAATTGTAGAATGGTTTGGGTTGGAAGGGACCTTTTAAGGTTGTCTAGTCCAACCCCCCTGCAGTGAGCAGGGACATCTTCAACTAGATCAGGTTGCTCAGAGCCCCATCCAACCTGACCTGGAATGTTACCAGGGATGAGGCATCTACCACCTCTCTGGGCAACCTGTGCCAGTGTTTCACCACCCTCATGGTGAAAAATTTCTTCCTTAGATTTAGTCTAAATCTATCCTCTCTTAGGTAAAAACCATTACCCCTTGTCCTCTTGCAACAGGCCCTGCTAAAAAGTCTGTCCCCATCTTTCTTAGAAGCCCCCTTTAAGTACTTAAAGGCTGCAATAAGGTTTCCCCGGGGCCTTGCATGCATGCATTGAAGGGGTGATGAGTGCTCTGGGCACATATGGGTTGTTTGCGTTATGAGTGTCATGAGTACCTGAAAGGAAAACATTTGCGTTTGGTGACATGATAAAGGAGCTTAGTTGTGATCAAAGTGCTCTTAGTCTGCTTGTGGAAGAGCAGAGTTAGGGAAGTGCCATGCAGGCTGAGTATGATGTGTACAAACACAGTACACCTGCGTAGGCAGCTGATGTTGTACTTGACTAACTGGAAGGCTTGCTCATGGATTCTTCACCAGAGGGGAAAGTGGGAAAAAATCTCATGCACCTTTAGATCAGTTTAACTGGGATTAAAACCACTAAAATCAATTAGCCTAAGTACAGGGTTACCACAGAATGTCGGTCGACTTCAGGTTGTGCTAGTGCCTTAAATGTGTGTTTTCTCCCTCACTGTTTCTGAATTTCTTCCCATTTTAACCCTGAATATATACCTGGATTTGTGGGTAACAGCAATATCTCTGTAAAACTTTGTCCTGAAGTTACTTGTACCTGTGGTTAATGG